CCGCTTTGGGTGCACCAGTATGAACTAGATGGGCTTTCAAAAAACCATTCTCACCCTACTTTTCTACCATTTCCACACAGACATAGCAAAGGGGAACTGGGAAGACCTCCTACATTCAAAAGTTACTGATGCACATAAGGCACCCCTCTGTGTCTCATACTCCTTAGATAATGAAACCATTGACACCTGGCAAACACATTTACCAAAATTTGTTCAAGGGTGGAGAATGGCAGCCCAAGATTGAATCCAGGACAGCTGAGGCTTTTCTATTTAGTTTCTACTAGTACTACAGAAAAAAAAGTTGTGCAATGGGATTGTTTTTGATTCAAGAAACACCCTCAACTAATAAGCAATTTTAATTGTGTTACTGGTAATCCCAGTGCATGACACTGACCTTTCACAGGGGAGCTTCTACAAAACACCATGTCCTGCTATTTATAGCAAACTGGGAGACCTCCCCTCTTGACCAAAGGGGGCCTGGCCTCAGCACTGAACACCTTCATCATCTCTCAGTGGGCTACATCTGCGTAGCATCTTGGGGTATGATTTTTTTGCTATTATGAAACTCCAGCTAAAACAGAGTGCTGCAACAAGCTGCCTCAGCTCTTTCATGTGCACCATATTTCTTCTGCACATTTCAAGTAAAGCATCTTGATATTCATCATGAAGACATTCAGAAAACCTAAAAGATGACTTCAAGTTCCAGATAAGGAGCAGAGTCAATGTCTATGTGCTTCCAGTCAGCACAGCTGAGCTACCTATATACACAGCAAGGACACCAAAAGAGTTATTTAGATATTGAAACAACTTAAGTACAAAAGAGACAACTGAATTAAGCACAAAATCTGACCTGGGTCCTACCAAAGCGGATGGCAAACCACCATTTTCTAATGCAGTAATTCTGGACAGTAAATGCCTTCCGTTTCGTAAAGATCATCACCGCATGGTATTTCAAACTGCAGGCAACACCACGTGTCTACTTTGAGGAGATCAAACTCATCTAGCTTTCCCAGTGTGCTTTAAGATCACCACCGCATGGTATTTCAAACTGCAGGCAGCACCACGTGTCTACTTTGAGATCAAACTCATCTAGCTTTCCCAGTGTGCTACAGACAAAACTTCTGCAGCATGCCAACAGCTCCACTTGACATGCAGAAAAGACCTCCCTTTCAAAAACAAGAGTTCAGTAGGATCTCCCTTTGCAGGAGCAATTTTAATTACAGGAAAGGCTATCTTAGAACAAACATACTAGCACTGCTTCACAAACAGCAGCATCAGGTGTGATCAGACACCTGAAACGTTATGCCTGGACAGTCACAACAAATGAAACACCTCCTGAAACGTTAAGGCAAAGCAGTACATGAGACCAAAGTCACTGTGTCCTATCAGAGAGCCAAGAATATCAAGTCCTTGCACATCATCTGCATTAGCCTATCACACCTCATTTGCAACAGGAGCAATCTTTTCTCTGCATTCGTTTTAAATGACCTTCTAAATTTCTTTCCCACCATGCAACTTCCAACTTTGAGTGACAAGAAATTCCAACTTTAAAATTACAATTTATCTTGCTTCTTGAGCAATTCCACCAGTTCTATGTTCTGGGAGGGACTTTCATCCTAGGAACAGAGTATGTCCAAAGGGGACATCTAAGCTCCCCTCTCCCCTCCAAAGCAGTTCTCTCAGGTGCAAAGAAGGAAAAAAGGAAAAGAAAGCAAATTCACATGGTTTGAGACAGCAGTTTTATTGGAGGGAAGCACTGGTATACAAGGACTCTGGCTTCATTTAAAGTGCTGGCCCACAGCCAGTTAGTCATTTAGATACATGCAACACAAGAACCTTCTTTGTTCTCCATTTCTCACTCCCCCATAGGACACAAGCTTGAAACTCTGCTTCTAATGTTGAGCAAGCCAAGACCTCAAATTCTTCCCTATGCAATTTGATAACATCTGGCTAGGTCTACTTCATCACACTCTTATGCAATCAGTTGCAAGCTGGCTGGTAATTGGATAATGCCTCAGCCTTATGGGGGTAAATGATCTGTGTGTGATAGGGACGGAAGCACATTAACGGAAGCTGCACTGTTACACCCTTTGTAAAATGGTTTGATAATAGGCCAAATACTTAATAGCAACAAATAAACTAACCTCCAAACCAAATGAGCAGATCTATTTACTTAAGCCTACTTTACATGCCAAGTAGGAAGAGATAAGCATTAGAGCAGCTATTCCTAAAATGCACTGACTGAACAATGTGGGAAAATCTCTCATTGGTATTTTTTGTAGAAAATGATGAATCATTTTTTAAATAAAAGAGGAAAAAAAGCCCTACCTAATCCCAACTTCGGTACAAGGACTGTAAAACAGTCAGCTCCTGGGAAAGCTCACTAGCCACTGTCTGAATAAAAGTTTGACAAGTTTGCAATTCCTATACAGTAAAAGGATCACACTCATGTTCCTGAGGACAGCACAAAGTGCCAGAAGAAGTTAATCTGTTATTTGGCACCTCACTCCCTCTGCTCTTTACCCCCTCTCCAAACCTACCAGGCAGATGAGTCTTCTCTCTCAAGGCAGCCTGCAAAGTTAAGAGAGGAGAAGCAGCAGTCTGACCAGTCAAAGAATGCCTATGATCTCCATCACCGCCCTGGAAATATTGCAGTGGTTATACGAGCTCCCTAGGTCAAGCTGCACTTATTCCACTACAAGTCTGGGCTGATGGCACAAAGAACATAGTCGAGGGGATGTCTGTGTAGGCAGGGATAGTGGGCAAAGATAGGAGAGGCTATGGTGGGATACAAAGTGCCAGGACACTCAGGAGGAAACATTATGCTTTGGCTAGAAACATGGTATTGAAAGAGTTTAGGAAGCTCCACCTGGAAGCAGAGACACAGATTTTAGGGAGTGGCAGACTGGACAAGAGCAGCATTGTTGGAATTTATGATGCAAGGAGTTGGGAGGGAACAGGAGAGAAGGAATAAACTGGATGAATAGTTACAATCAAAGTAAGCAGGAAAACTGGGGTCACGAGGCTTGGGGGCGAATGAGAGACAACTAAGATTGGTGTTCTCAAATGCAAGAGTAAAAACAGAAGCACCTGATTTGAAGCGTGGCAAAAGCCATGAATGCAAGTGAACAGAAAGCTCCTCAGTGATAGAGTATCACATCAGAATGAACAGACTCACTGCAAAAAGTCACCAAACTGGGAGCCAGAATGCAGGTGGCTCTTCGAAAAGTATTACAGGGGTAGAGGAGAATGAGAATAGAAGTCTTGCTTTTACATGCAGACAGGCACAAGAAGCTGCTTTCCATTTGCACATCTTGCACAGTGGCCCGTGACAGCAGCTGTTTGAACCTGGCAGGGAAGAAGTCAGCTTTTTTGCAACACTTGCTGAACGGGTCACACGTTTCCAGGGAATTCATGATCCCAAAGGTACAATGTGCACAGTTCTCAAGTAACAAGAAGAACTTTGGAGGGATTCCACCTTTCTGAAGTGTAATCTTCCCCAGAGCATCCACTGGGGCCGGGCTGCATACCATTTGCACAATCCAGCCCTAGGTTTTTTTCATCATTCCAAGTATACCTCATGTTGTGTAATGAGTGTTGTATCATGCTCCTGTTACAAATGACACCAGGAAAATAGCGTGAAGAACACACAGAGCTGAATTGCTACGGAACCATTTAACTACAAGCATAACTGCTGACAAACTATACTCAACATAAAAATCAGAAGCGATGATTAAATTGGAAGCAGTGAATTTGGATGAAAAGTTATTAGTTTATTGCCAGGTAGCACACACATCATTATCTTTCATTCACAGTGCATGAATTCTGGTCAGGCCCACAGCTGAGTCATCACATGTGGGACAAGTGAGCTGTTTCTTGTTCCTGACCTGGCATGAGGAAGAGATAGTGCAGTTAAGCCCTGAAGCAAAGGACATCTCACTCCAACAGGAAGTGATGAGCTTTAGACAGGTACCTATCTGTCTTCATCTACAAAATAAGTAAGATTTTGGTCTTGAGGATGATTAAGAGGGATGAAGGGAGGAGAAAAGACAATCCTCTTTTAGTCCTCCAAAATAGTATGAGAGAAGGAGGATATCCTGAGCTGAGGTCTTGAGGATAATTAAGAGGGATGAAGGGAGGAGAAAAGAGGAAAGACACAATCCTCTTTTAGTCCTCCAAGATAGTATGAGAGAAGGAGGATATCCTGAGCTGTGAGGGGACACAGAATTTTACCAAGGTTTTTACTAAGGTGGATTGTGGAGTTTTTTGGTTTGTTTTTTTAAATTAACATTTCTATTTATAATACTCTTAAACAAAAACCAGAGGTTTCTCAAAAGCAGAATTTTACTTCCTTCTTTGTTCCAGACTAGTCAAACTGCAAGTATTTCACTCTACATGACATTAAGAATGTAGACACTGATCCTTCAGACCCCTTCCTCTAGGCAATTACTGTTCTCTTCCTCTTTACATAATTTTAAGAGAAAAAAAAAATTAAATTCAGCCATTAATAACATACATTACCTAAACTACCAGTTAATTTGGCACGGTTGCCTTTAATTCTAACAGCAAGGGAATGATACCATTGTTTTATGAATGCAGCCTCCAGCTGATTTAAAGAAACTCTCCTGTCAAAATTTAAATGACTCATGATTTTTGCACTGCACAAAGAATTTTTTAATTTACATAATTATACCTGTGTAAACTATGCACTGACTGGTTCCCAATCTTGAGTTCACTCTAAAGTCTCCCTAAGGGAAAGGTGTCACATGTGACGAGAAGCAGTTTATGAGCCCGCAAATGTGAAGAGCAAGAACAAAAAGCCAAATCATTTACCCTTCTTAAAACAAGAAATCCTACTCACTGCAACACCCTCAGCAAACATGAGCACCAATTAACTGGTGAAATGTGAAACAGTTTGTAGTGCCACCAACCCTGACACCAAAGACTACTTTTTAGGTTTTAAATGTTGTGATTGGAGTATTAACAACAACTAGTATTACCTGCAGCTACTACTACAATGTCAGCGAGCTGCGTATGGATCTTGAGCTGCTCTTTTGGTGTGTATCTGTGAGTAATGGTCACTGTGGCATCACCTGAAACGTAAGAGATTATCAATTAATTGTCACATCTAAAATGCCTCTATAGTGTTTATTTTCAGGTGCAAATGACTTCAACAACAGTACAGATGCTCATCAGATTTGTCCTAAGATGCGTTATTTATTTCAGCATAGACAGAACGCTTGCAACACTTGCTGTTCACACATATGAAAAAACATTTCTTAAAAATTGACACCAGATGAATTAATTTATAAACCGTGGACTAACTTATTCCTGAATCAGCTTCATTACGTTCAGAGGGATGACACAGAGCAAACCCAGCACCGAATCCAGTGTCTGCCTTACTAAGCACAATTTGTATGGTGTGCCTTAAGACTCAGTTGTTTGTCACAGACTAAAGCTTCAAGTCCAAGATCCCCACGTTCGTATGTCTGTCCTCAACCACATTTATCAATCTGCCCCAAGCTCCCCAGATGCTTCCCTTGACATTCTGTTGTATACACAGGAAAGACTACCAGTCTCCTACCTGTGAGCCAACTTCATAATAGCATTTCCCCTTGAGCCCAGATTTAGTCTTTGGCCCATGTTTTTGACACATTGAGTGCTCGAGGAATAATTGGTAATTCAAGTTCAGTGAAGTGGCACTGTTTCTTACTGATATTCCCCCTATCAAGGATTAACATGGCTGATCATCTGGCCAACAACAAGAGGTGACAATTGAGGCTCTTCTCTTTGTAGGGCCTGATTGTGTAGGGAGTCTAGTAGCTGTGACAACAAGGACACTCCTGGACCAAGAATCTTTGCTTATAAACCCTGCTGACCAATAACTGCATGCAAGGTCAGACAGCAAAATCCATCCCGTGACTGGAACGCTACCAGATTTCATCAAGGAGAGGCAATCGTGAACGTAAACATGGAACACAATCCACAGCAGCATCAGTATTTACAAATTTCTAATTGGATGGATCTGAGAAGGTTTATCACCATAACCACTTAAGGAATCCACACATCTAATGCACGTATTTTTCCACACACTCAAAGCATTCCAAGTCATCATTTTATGTAGCTCAAGTGCAATAACAGGAATGGAAAAGACTGGACAAAAAGGTGCTCAGGTTTTTGCAGGTGACCTACCATTTCTTGTATGTCCTGATAAAACAAAAACAGCTGAACCCTTACTTCACATCAGAATAGGAATTGTTTGAAGTTACCATGAATAGAAGCGCACATTCTTTTGGGCAAACTCAAAAGATTTGGGGCCTGCTCCTGCATGTATCCACATTTCTTGGTGTGATACTTACTTCTCTGCTCTTTCCCCTCATCTTTGATCCCTCATCTCTTTCAGTCTCTATAGTGCATATTGTCTCCTCAAAGAGAAGCAGATCAAGACATGTTCAGATAATGATAACAGAAAAGTACAGATGTGCATAAGCAATTCCACAAAATAAGGGGAGTTGCCAGAAGTTAAAAGTCTCCCACCAACCTTCTGTAACTTCCCATGAACTTAAATGCATTGAGAGCTTAGACAAATCACTGTCTTAAAGACATCTCTGCCGTAACCCTTTGTATGACAGCGACATCCCAGACAGTACATAAAGCCTGCATGTCAAAGATTCCTTCAGCTTTCTTCCTTGAATACCTTTGGGATCCTGAAATAACAACTCAGACAAAACAATTGGAACAGGACCTAAGTATTACTCACTGATACTCCTCACTTTTCTAATCTAAAGCAGCGTGTCTCCAGCTCCTGATTTGTTGGTAAGTAGGCCACACACATACTCTTTTGAGTGAGCAGTATTCAAAACTGTATAGATGGTCAGAGTTTTCCTTCTTTGGAGGCCTCATTCTCCAAACATTAATAACAAATCACTTCACCCCCTGCAGAAGAACCATGTCTGTTTTTACATGTGACACACTTTCCTTTTCTTGGCTAATGCTCTATCAATCACACTGAACTTAAGGATTCTCTGAAGGGCCATCCTTAATACATGAAAGGCAAATAGAAGTACCACTGTATTCTGGAAAGAAAAGCTTGAAGGAGTCTTAGAGGAGTCTTTTGATACTTATTTTAAGCAAAAGAAGATGTCTTACCTAAAATCACAATCATTATTTCAAAAAATATATACATAATGAGATTCTTTTGAGCTCTTACCCTGTACTCAGCAGAGAGGTTGAGAAAAACCAATGCACAAAATCCCATGTTACAAATACTCACATCTTCCGAGAAGTAAAATCAGTGTAATTTTCCCATCAAGATTTTCATGAGGAATGTGTCTGTAGTCAGCTCCTGAAACCAAGTAATTGCCCTCACTACCAAAAAGGAAAGGAGAAAAAAAAAAAAAGGGGGAAATAAACAACCAACCCAAGCCCCTACCTTCAGATCAGCAGTCCAGAAGCTTACAGACACCTCAGAAAGGGTAGGTTTTCCATTTATTTGTGATCGTGCCCAAACAGAAAAGAAACAGCTATTTTTTTTACACTGATACTTCTGCTGAAAGAAGAGGAATATATTTAGCAATGAAGATATGATACTGCTGAGTCAATTCACTAGCTTATAAAACGGAGATAGCCTCTTGACCTGCCTGCACAAAACACAGTTACACAATTGGTTTTGTAAAAGGGGTCAGATGGTTTTCCCATCTGATCGGATACTGCCACCCCAAGGATGTTAGAGTTTCTACATATAAAACATCACAGATGAAGACACCTCAGCATTTCAGTTTTGTTCATAATCTGTAAGAAACCAACAACTAAAACCTACAACAAGAACAAAGAAAAAAACATAGTATCACACACACACACACCTTGCATCGCTTCACAATAAAAATTATTTAATCAAATCAGCCCAATTGTTGATAAACCCTGACTGATAACCTGAGAAAGTTATTTTTCAGCACTTAACTATAGGTCCTGTCTGGTTCCCATCCCCCTGAACAAAAAAAACAAACAAAACAACCAAAAAAAAAAGAAAGGAAAGAATAAAAAAAGCTTCTGCTGCATTTTTATTAACAGGTTAAAATTGTTCTTAAAATGTGCTTAAAGAATAAAATTATCAACTCTGACACATCTGACATGTCTCTGATCACAATGCACAAGTTCTGCCCTGCTATTAGCCTCTAAGAGAATGAGTGCAAATGATTATTCCATTTAAGCTATTCCTTTTTATTACATTCACATTTCCAATCTTTCCTTTCACTCTACCTCCTTGAGCAGATTATACTTTAGCTTTATGAATTCTCTTTCACTGTCTGTCTCAGCTTTCTCTTCACTGCCTTCAGCTTCTTCTCTGTCAAAACACACCCAGAAATTCTGATAGCCATTGAGGTTGCCCTGACCAGGCTGGCCTCTGGTTGCTCAGAGCAGAAGCAGAGGAGACAGCTAACTGCAGAAGACCAAGTAGATCTTCAAGGACAGCCCAATTCATGAGTCAGGAATGAAAACTACAGTAGACTATCCCAACTACAAAAGTATTTATCACCATGTATAGGACAAATACATACTTAATGCCATTTTATTGTGAAAGAAGGACAAAAGTTTCTTTGTTTTCTCATTGCCAGATGCTTCAAACTGTACATAACCATCTTGCAGGTTGGAAAACAAGAAAAACTACCTTAAAAATAAATCAATTTCTTTAGAAGAAGTAAAGATAGCCTGAATGAGTTAAGTCTTTCTACAGCTAGATTCCAGTGTCATTGCCAGAAAGGGAATATGTATCTATTCCCTTTTTCTGATTCGTATCCAACCCTTTTCCTGTTCCTAGATAGAATAGGTGACATACACAGCATTAAAGACAAAGCCAGTAAATAGGGCTGCCAGTCAAGTAATTTGCAACACGTCAGGAATCAGAACACAGGCAGATGACCAAGAAGCACAAAGTTCATTCACAGGCCAACAAACTCACGGACTAGCCCCCCCCAAAACAAATCATACTACCAGGCAGTCAAAGAAGAACTACAAACTCAGGATACAAACGAAAGAACTGAGCCACAAACCTAACTAACTCAACAGCCGAGAGCTACAAAACGGCATTTAGTTACAGCTCAAAAACATCCATGCAACTACCATGGGTTTTGTAACAAGTTGCTGAAAGAATCACTAAGTCTCCTCATTTGCAGCTGAGAAACATGCAAGTAGTTTACAAGGTATCTCTGTGTTGTATAAAGCCTGTTTCAATCATTGAACTGCACTGCCAGTAATATGTATAACCCCAAATTTGCAACAAATGGCCAAAGTGCTACTAATTTTCATGGGAATGAGGATGAGACCAGAACTATGCACTGATGGTAATTACCATTCAAACACACAGAGAAGTTTCAAATAGCAACTTTCCCACAGAGGATGAATGGAAAAAACAACTCTATGATTAGTAAGAAGCTTTTAGTGTTTTATTATATTAATAACAGATTTCACTCCACTCCTATTTAATATGCCTGGGACTAAACATTCATGTTTACCTCATTTGCGCTCACCACCCTGGCATTTTCTAACATCAAAATGAAGTTACAAAAGGACAGTATTCTATTTGAATTATATTTGTTTTTCTCTCTACAGCACAATTATAGCAGCACATGCGTGCTTCTGTGATTAGAATTGCTTAAAAATATTTCCATTACAACCCCCAGTTTCCAGGGGGATATAAATTGCACTGCAAAAAAGTCCCCTAGACCACCATGTAATTTCATAGAGCTCACACTGAAGAATTACTTCATTGGTCATTTGGATGTTTTCATAATCACCACCTAATTAACACAGCACAACACAGGAATCATGTCATATACTATACATACCTGTATATATGTGTATATATATATATATATATGTGTGTGTGTACAGACACATGTGTATGAAAAACTTTAAATGCAATTTAGATAAAAATGAGGATTAGGTATATGGATATATTACTTATTATAACCAGCACATGAACCTCTGTAGCTCTTTAAGCACACTGCCAGGTATTGTCCTCAACCTTCAGTGCTAACCATGTTTAAACAGTAGTTGTTTCAAACAGAGGATAAAGCGATGACATGACACCCAAAAAAGTCAAGTCCAGAAACTGCTCCCCTGAGAGTAAATCAGGAAATATATTATCAAATTTATTTCCTTCCTCTGGTTGCAAATATTGTACAAGAGAAAAGCTTACTCTTTTTATCTTAAACCTCTGGTCAGTTTAATTTTAATGATTTCACAAATGGAAACATTAAAACAGCATTCAAGGACTTACCTCCAGGCCTTTCATGCTCTCCATCAGTATGTAAAAGCATCGAAATGGGCATTCCAACATTCTTAGATCTGCCAGCTACAACAACATTTTTTCCAAATGTCTGTATTCCTTATAGGAAAAAAAAAGTAAAGAAAAAATATTTAAAAATTGTATTCCACTATTTTGATATAACAAAATCCTTCTTCTCAGTCCGCAACATGTAATTATTTGCTGTTGTGGATTGCTGACATCAACATGACTTGAAAATCCACAAGGCTGAACTTGAGGGATGAATCCACAAAACAACTTTAAGCTTTCACCTTAGAGAAACAAAACCGGCAACTCATCCCAGTTATCTGAATCACCCTTTGGAGGAACTTAATTTCCCTTCTCTGACCACAAAGGGAAATGGAAGCTCTTATGTCTAACAATAACAACACATATATTAGACTTATAAAACCACAACTATGGAATATATATGCATTCTTTTCCCCTTCTAATACTGAATTAAAACGTTCCCGCTTTTGTTCTTGTTTCTTCCCCTTCCTTCACGAGAACTTCCAATCTTCTATTTGATAATTTATCAGGAGATCAGCAGCATCACAGAAGTTCCCTGCAATGCTATAAAATGCAGAAAATAAGTTACCAAGGTGTTTCACTAAGTATTCTACATGGACTTCTGTCTACACTTAATTAATAGTTATGCTACTGGCAGAAGATCTCATCTGCTTGGCACCTCCTTATTTTTTAGATTAACCCTCTTAATATTTGTTCTTCAATCAACCCAATACATTTAGATAACCTACACATTTGAACTCACACCTGACTGCCCTTCATTCACCTTGTGCAATGAAGAGTTTCAATATAGTTCAGTGTCTTACCTGTCCGTTTTATCATTTCCCAGACGGCAGCAGCAGTGGCTGGTATTATAGAAGGCTGATCAAGACACAGACGCCCGATATTCATAATATGAAATCCATCCACATCCTTTTCAGGTGCAATAGCGTTACAAACTATTCGTTCATCTATGTGATCTAGGAAACACACTGCTTTCAAATAACAGTTCTTTCAATTGTCAGGTGTCATCAAGAATACTAATCTGAATTGTTACACAGAGAAACACACAAGTTGGGTCTAGCCAGGGCAATTATTATTATTCATTATGAATAAACTACACTCCCTCTCTAAAAGTACCAATTACAACTTCACGTACAAATTCATCTACTAAAAATTAAATAATTCAGTTTGTGACACTGCTAGTACAACAGATTCAGTCAAATTACAAGAGGCCAATACTCAGCTGAGAATAACAACTTATTACCTATAAAGATAAATGTTTAAGCAAGACACTTCAGAGTCACTTCTGCATTCTGGAAGCGTTAATTATCAAGTGTCTCAAAATAACCCCCAAAACCAAGCATAAGAGAGAAGTCACTGCGCATGCTACCTCTCTCTAAGATCACAAAGGAGACATGATCCAAGTTTTAAATAAATGTACGGAAACCCTAAGCTGAAATAACTTTGCGGGTCTAGTTTTTATTTTCCATATTACAACAATACTACTGTTTTCATTAAGTTGCTAATCAGGATGACCAAAACATGTCCTACTTCATCAGAAAACTGTGAGAATGTATAAAATTGTTTGATAATTATAAGCTCAAAACACTAAATATGATGTTAATTATGACATCTGCACATTATTTATTATTCACATCTATTAATAATAGACATTTTTCATATGCACTATTGATATGGGATAGGTCTGCAACTGCTTAACACCTGTACTACACGAATATTGGTACTGATTTTGGCAAAAAAAAGTGTTAGCCAGTCCTACCTCTGCAAAGTTACAAACCCAAGTATAAAACTTGCATACATAAAGACACTCCAGAGGAACAGCTCTACAAACCATCCCCATACTGCCCCAGAAAGCAAACTTTGGTTAATAAATGTATTTACCTCGTGCTACCTCAGTTACCACTTCAGAATCATACAGTCATGGAATAGTTTGGGATGGAAAGGACCTTTAAAGTCATCTAGTTCAAACCCCCTGCAACAAGCAGGGACATTTTAGTTTACTGCTTCATTGTTTAGTAACATCCCAAGCTGCATCTAGGATGACACTTCCACCTTTATTTCTGTCTCAGAATGATAACTTCTTGCATCTTTTATGTAATTACACAACGCCCATTCTAGACTAGATGCCTGACAGAACTCTGATTGTGAAGCAATATATCCCAATGTCCAATTCAGGAAGCATAACAGGATGTTTAAGAAAGCCAAGTAAAGGGAAATGACTGTTGATTATGAAATTCAGATCTTTCCAGTAAAAATATTTTATAGACATATATAGGATGTTTGAATTTAGTAGGCAATGAGCTCTACTTAGGTATTTTGTGATTCTGCATTAAAATGAGCTAGCTAATTAAAAGATATCATGCATGTTATAAAACTTAAGTTACAGTAATCGCTTGTTAAAAGATTTCTGAATAAAAAAAACCCAGTTAAACCAGATTGTTATGGTTTACAATTTAATTCTCCATTTTCTAATTGGAGGAAGTTTCCTTGTGAATCTTAATGAGAAAGGTCTGTGGAAATTAAGATGTTAAGTACATTGACAAAACAGTCTCTTAGAAATCAAACCAGCCTATAAACCAAGATTGAAGGCAACCACAACCTTGGTTTTATATCAGCTTGGGGAATAAAAAACAACCAAACCAAAAAATTTGGAGTTACCTATTAAACAGTTTTTGCAAAAAGAAAACTTATTAACCTTAGGCAAGTTAGTTGTTCTGGCAGCCATGCTTTCCCTTGTGTCTGTGATAGAACAGAACCATTGCTGTCTGTGTTCAGCTCATATAAAACGGGAAGGAATCATGGTTTATGTAGGTTTGGGGTTTTTTTTTCCCCCACTCAGAAACAATTTGCAGAATTTCAGACCAGGGCACATCGTACTGGGAAGAAACGCAGCTGCACAGCTGGGGACAAGTAGGCTGACATGGGCCTGGGAAGAGAAGATGAGGACACCTTTCCTTCCTCATCAAAGAGACTTCTAAAACACTATCTTGGGCAGGTCGTCCCCAAACAAACAAAACCAATTCAAACTGCATAGACAGTTACTATGTTACTTAATAAGTACATTATATTTGCCTCAAGAAATGTATTTTCCTGGTTTGTTTCCACTTGACTGCAGATAGCCTCACTTATTTCCAGAGGAACAAAGTAATTTCTCAAGTGTGTTACTGTCAGTCTCATTGAATATGCCTGGCCTCCTCTCAACTGATGGTCATACAAACCAACTTGCTGCCATTCCAAACTACCCTCCACACCAAGTTCCTCTCTGCAGTTGCCCTTTCACTTATTACCCAAGCTTTTCAGATGACACCAGGCATCACTTGCCTAGCTACTCTGATATCAAACCTTGATTTACACAATAAACAACGTGTGCCTCTAATGTTAACACATGAAAAATACAGACCCGTTTTCAAAAGGGAAGACTTGATGAAAATAAAAACATGGCACAAAAGGGATTTGAAAATGTATCATATGGATCAAGAAATACAGACACAGAGCAAGCAAGAAGCTGTTCAGCAGCAGCAATGAGCTCCCTGGAAATAGTTTTGAGAAGCTATACTAAGACACTGCTACGATTTTAACAGTCAGTTCCACTGAAGCAGGCCACACTTAGGTTGCAGCCTTTCACAACAGAGGGACATAATGTTTGTACTCATTTGTCTCATACTCCTTTGCTGCTTACAACTAAGAATATGAAAAACTCAACATTTTCTACCTCAAATATCTAACATTTCATAGCCATCTTCCACGCAATTTATAAAAAATTATACAGGAAACTATTCTATTCTAGGATTCTATGAAAAGGGGTTTTAATTGGATTTTTCAAGGTCAGGCTTGATGGGGCCCTGCCTAACCTGCTCTAGTTAAGATGTCCCTGCTCACTGCAGGGGGGTTGGACTAGATGACCTTTGAAGGTCCCTTCCAGCCCAATACTTTCTATGAAACTCTCCACAAAACCATTACCACATCATAAGTGATACACTCAGAAGAGGCACAGAAAGCAAGTTTTCCTCAGGCAAAGATGGCAATGCTCAAAGTTAAATTGTTCCAGCTCACAAAAGTGAACAAAGCTATTTTCTGTTTCTATTTTTACCCCAGTATTGATCAAAAGCCACACCTGTGTGTGGTTTACTGCAAAAAAACCCCAAACCCCACACAACCAGCTCATCATTGGAGTAAGCAGCCTCCACTGATAAAAGTTTCCACAACCTCTAGGCTTTGTTTCCTTCCACTACAAAATCAGTAGTTTTGGAAAACGAGCTAACTTAACTTTCTGCCCTTCTGTTTCTGAAGTTCCTTTGGGAGAAAAAAAATAATTCAGAGTTGTATCTAACACCTATTATGGAAAGAACTTCCTTAACATTTTAAGTTGATTATAACTTGCATATTTAACTTTACTATACAGACAATGCAATATTGAAAAAGTTCAGCTATTGATTAAATTACTCTAAGATTTTTACTAAGACAGGCAACAGCCAGGCCTCAAACTAGCAAGTTTTAAAGGTGAGAGAAAGGCTAATTAGTCCTCATGTAATTACTGTTACAGATGTACTGTAGTTTTTGAGAGGGATCTTCAACCAATTACTTTAGGGCTTAAACATTTGAGTGGACTAGCATCAGACATTTGAAATGACACAACCACCAGAATTATCTTCAGTCTTTTTTTCTTTTCAGGTTTAAATTCACTAAGTTTCAAGACTTAAATCTGGTTTTGAACTATGTATCCATGAAGGCAGACAGCTTAAGAGCAGACGGTAATGACATGATATCCTCCTCATTTTAAAAAAAAAAAAAAAGCATTCTAACAATTTTCCTGAGTACCCACCTAAGTAAGACAAGTGACACAGGACATCTCCCATTTCTGGGGAACACAAGAGTGAATTTGGAGTGCAGCGGATGAGCCTGTTTCCTTGGCTACACGCTTCAGACAAAGATTTCAATCCCTAGGCTGTCAGTGCTCCATTTTTTGCCTGAGTTCTGACTACAGAATCAGTTCCATCACCTGCTTCCCCTAATCTGTTCTTAGTGGGAGAGATGTTTCTTCAATTTATACTGACCACATTGCATCAGCTCCCAGAGTTACTTTCTTACAGTCCAAGATTTCAGTCTCCTTGCCTGTGTTATACTTCCACCCTGTGGCCAACTTAATTCAACAAGTGGCCAATTTTACTTAGCTTACATATAGTACAAAGCACAAAACTTCCTCATCACAAATGCTGATACTTATTACAAATACAAGCAAAGTATCACTTCCTCTAACACTCAGCACCTGCCCCAATTTTTGGTGTTTCGTAGGTAAGTAACAAATGCAGTGAGAACTGTCTGAAAGTGAAGACCAAGACAGGGAGTAACAAAGCTTCAAGTTCACCATCAAAGATTCTTATAAACAGCAACCCCTGGAGTCCCATCTAGTGCTATAAATCATGCCTATACATGCCAAATAGACAGCTCCTGTCCTTCAGAATTTACAGTATAGATTGCAGAATCACAGACTGGTTTGGGTTGGAAGGGACCTTAAAGATCATCCAGTTCCAACCCCCCTGCCATCAGCAGGGACACCTTCCACTAGACCAGGTTGCTCAAAGCCTCATCCAACCTGGCCTTGAACACTTCCAGGGAGGAGCAGCCAAAGATTCTCTGGGCAACCTGGGCCAGTGTCTCACCACCCTCACAGGAAAGAATTTCTTCCTCAGATCTCATCTAAACCCACCCTCTTTCAGTTTAAAGCCATTAAGCCTTGTTCTATCACTACCTGCATTTGTAAAAAAGTCCTTCCCAGCTTTCTTGTAGGCTCCCTTCAGGTACTGGAAGCCACTAGGTCTCCCTAGACCCTGCTCTTCTCCAGGCTGAACAGCCCCAACTCTCTCAGCCTGTCCTCATAGGAGAGGTGCTCCAGCCAGTACTTGGAAACACAGAGACAGGGGAAACCCAGTATGCCAGTCAATTTATTACACTGACTGCAGCAATTTAGGTACCTCTCCATTAGGAAGCATACAGTGCTTAACTACGTTAACTTATGTAGATTTAGATGAAAACTGCAAGTTTTATCAATGCCAAAATACTGTTTTGTCAGCTACTGCCATGCAATAATTTACTGAGTTTTGATTACAAATTAGGAGAAGGGAAATAAAAACCAAGAATACAGCAGAGGTTTTAGAACCTGAGCACAAAGCTGTAACATTAGGGACAGCATAGAAAACATGAACAAATGTTTCAGGCAAAACCTGGAATCATTGTGAGAAAGACCATGGTATCATCTGCTAGATGGCATAACTTGGTATGATATGAGGGCTGAAAATATGGCAAAGGTCTTGGAGTTAAAGGCAAAACAGTGCAACAAGTTAAAAATAAAAAAACTTCAAAAACAACAAAAAGAATAAATAAACTACATAAATAATGTGTGTGTGTGGAGGGAAATTCCTTGAAATAGCACTCAGACTGAACATTAAAAAGAGGCAAGGTTGACAATATTAAATGATTCTCACAATTTAATTTGCTTTTTTGTTTCAAATTAACTGCAGGCTAGTATATAAAAAATTTTAACGTCTCAACTAATCCTTCATTCTGCATTTCCTCTCGCAAGAGCTTTTCATGTCACTAAGATACACTTGAAAGCCAAAAATCAAACTCCTTCCTCTCACATTGACTGTATATGAGGAGTGGAACAAAGTTTCACCTACCTGGGAGAGGCAGCTGAACTAATACACCACTAACTGTCGAATCCTTGTTGAGTTTTACTGTCATATCTAACAGTTCTTCCTGAGAAATGTCTTTAGGCCTCAGTATGATCTCACTAGAAATGCCTGATAAAACAAAAAACATAAGACATATATTAGTATCAGGAAATTTATCTACAGACAGCTTAGTCATTTTGTCTAAAAATCTGTTTGATGCTTAACAACTGTTTTAAATAACCATGGAGGACTTGCTACAAATTCTGCTTTCCCTGTCTGGTCTTTAATGCTGTATTTCTAGATGTCAAGTATAATCTTACCACGGAACATGCAGAAAATAAATACAGTAGCTCCAAAATTAAACAACAGTTTGGAAATCTTTGGAAAATAGAGCATTTATCTTTTTCTACAAATGTGCCCTTGAGAATAACAACTAAAACCGAACAGATAAAGCTGCACTAGCATTACTGGCATTTTATCTGATAGCTTTTCTATTTCTGTGGGACAAAACTTGTTATTAGAAAAGGAAATTTTTCAAGTTACCTCACAAGATTGCAGATACACTGATAGCAACAACACTGAAATCCCCTGTTTAGGCTACAATACTCTCTCATTTGGAGATGAGATGCTGTAGTGACTGGGCTTTTTCCTGCCTAATCAGACACTTAGCTTTACTGTTTTATTTCATTAGGGCTGAAATTTTGCCCTTCATATTCAGAGCTGTGAAGCCTTGGTTTTGGATTGGCTTGCCTGTCTCTACTTTGGACCTAAAAATTCAACAGGGCAGATATTCCATGAGATAGAGCAGATGCATATGAAGACTAACATTACTAAGAAATTATTGACTTAATAAAGAAAAAGGCTCTTCTCAATACCTTCCTGTGAAACTGGTTACTTAATCACTGTCGCCATCGATTCCAGGGCAGTAGGGTTTGCTAACTCATACAGCTGGAATCAGGCTGAAAAACCCACTTATAGAAAAGTGAATCTAACAGGTACTGAGGAGGCAACCTCTTAACCAACTATTTCACATTTAAAAATAATAAAAGTGCCTTGCAGAAACAACTGAAAAACGACATCATTTCACTCTGATTACCTTTATTTACTATGCCTCTCAAAGCCAGTTAAGACAGTTAACTATCAAAAAAATTCCCCAGTATTCTCCTTTAGTTTCCAGTTCCTAATGGTAAGGTTGCAAACTGTTTCTTTAAAACACTAAGATACAGAACTGAACTTACAGCGACCATTCATGTGTCATTAAAACTACTTCCTTAACATGCCAAGGCAACTTTTTTCTTTAGGTTTCGTCAGAAAACAGGAGGAAGAAAACAGTGCAAAATTAAATTAAAATACAAATGAAGTTCGCCTCTGCCTTTTTTTTAATTTTATTTTTAAACAACAATATCTTGAGCTTACCAAAGGATCATCTATATTACACAACACATACCTACAGCTGCAGCTGCTTTTATCTTGTTTCTGACATAGATATGACTAGCTGGATTGTCTCCTACTAATATGACAGTGAGATGAGGTCTCTTGTTTCCAAAAGATATCCATGATTCTACATCCCTTTGAACTTCTTTCAAAACTTGTTTAGCAAGCTTTGTCCCTGAGATAATGGTTGCTTCATCACTATAAAGACAAAAGATACACAATATTTAGGTCTAAAATTTCATAAAGACAGTTTTAAGTGTTTGATCTACTGTGTTAAATCCTTGCAAATGCTTTAATTACTTAATTTGCTAATATTTCAAATACTATCTGCAAAACACAACACTAACACACTACAAATCCACCTGGAGAAAGAAGCGTTTCCCCACTGTTTTATTTGAAGAGCAGGAACGGGCTACCAGTGCACACAGAAGAGGAGCTCACCTGCCACACCCCACCTTCCCAACACAGTTCCCTTCCCCAATTTCCTTAAAAAAAATTATATATATATATTTGTCATGGGATTATTGACACTATTCTTTTGTCCAAGCCTAGATGATACTTTCTCTCAGCTTTCTCAGGACTTAATTCATATAAGCCAGTGGCAAATAAGTCAGGAGCTTTTGTCATGCTCTCCCCACTTTTGTCCTTTCCCTAGCCTTCCAGTAACCTCCCTCTGCCCTTCCAACAGCACTACAGTAGACAGACCTCATCCTTGGGTGAATGGCCCACAACCATTGCCCTACCCATGTAGAAAAGCAAAGAAAAACTCAAAGAATCTCACGCCCTGAACCTGTCCCAG